GGGGCGGAGGGGCGGGGCCCCGGGGCGGAGGGGCGGGGCCCCGGGGCGGAGGGGCGGGGCCCCGGGGCGGAGGGGCGGGGCCCCGGGGCGGAGGGGCGGGGCCCCGGGGCGGAGGGGCGGGCTTGAGGTTGAGGTCCAGGCCGGAGGGTTACCTGTCCCTGGGCCGGGGCCTGCGTGGCTGGCGGTTCCGCCCACTGCTCTCCAGCAGTGTTGGAAAGTGTTTCCACCATCTTCCTGCAGTAAAAACAGCTGAGATTTGAGGAAGCAGCTCTCAGTCTGCGGGGGAAGAACCCAGCGGACAGCCGAGGAAGCCAGGGAGGCCTAATGCTGCCTTTGGGGCCCCTGGGCACGTGAGGAGAGGAGTGAGGGGCGCCCTGTGGCGTCAGCGGGGAGCTCTGTCTTCCAGACGCTGTGACCCAGAGGCACCAGCCAGGGGGTCAGGGGTGGGCAGCTAAGGAGACAGGCCAGGCCAGGCCCTGAGGCGACACGGGAGATTGGACGCATTTAGAGGGAGCCCGGCGGAAGTGTGTTCCCAGGAAAAGGAGCACGAGCACGGGGCCTCCCTGGATGGTGGGAGGCCGAGAATCTGGCGTCAGGGGGCATCTCCGGCTCCGGCCAGTGGCAGAGGGGAAAAATGGCTTCAAGCTGAGGCCACAGGGAGGGAGAGATGGTGACCCCGGCTCCTGCCTTTTCCCTGGGGAGGGGCTCAGCTGAAGGGGCAGGGCTGAGTGGGACTGGGACCAGGGACTCCCCAGCTCCCCAGCTGAGTGTGTCCAGGTAACTCGCTGTCCTTCGACCTCTGTGGTCCTGTTAGGGGCGGGCCAGGTGGCCAGGTGGGTGCTTCACAGGTTTACCCAGCACCAGCCGGCCAGGCCTCACCCCAGGCAGTGTGGAACCAGGGCGGGCAGAAGTCCCAGCGGCCTGGGCTTCCCACTCATGCGCAGAGAGGATGGGCCGGGTGTGCTGAGGAAACCCCCACGCTGGCCAGGGTCACTCAGGCTTGGTGGCAGTAGTGCACAGAGTAGGGGTGTCACCCCGCCCTGCAGTGATGGAGGGCTGGAACAGAACTGGGGGCCCGTCCCTCTGGGACACCACTCAGGCTCCCGCCCCCGAGTGAACACCGTGTGTTGCATTCACAGAACGCTCTGTGGCGTTCTGGTCCACGTTGCACGACCCACTGAGGAAGAATGGACGTCACCCAGGGTGGACCTTCAGCCTCAGGACCTGAGTCAGCCCCCTTGCTCAGTGTGACTTCTCTGGCAGCAACCCCCTCTAGCCCAGCGCCTGCGCATCCTGCCCCAGGGCGTCCATAGGCATTTTGTCGGCTTGATGCTACTGCAAATAGTGTCTTTTCTGAAATCCAAACTATCGAAGCTTCTGGAGCATTCCGTATCTCAGAGTTTTGAGTTAGGAATGCTCAACCAGTAAAGTCTATTAATTAAATATTGCAAACTTAGAAACTGAAATCGGAAGCACTCTGGACCCAGGCACTGTGGGTGGGTTCTGCTGCCTCTGCTCTCTGTGGATGTCCAGCAGGAGGTGTGTCTGCCTCATTGTGTCCACCCTGAGAATCATGCCACCTTGGGATGCGTAGCTCAGGTCTGTCCCGTATGAGGACACTGGTCACTGCACCAGGCTAGTCACTAACTCACCACACCTGCAGAGCACCATGTCCAAGCAAGGCCATGTTAGCTGGCTCTATGTGGACATGAGTTTGGAGGACACTGTTGGCCCCAGAAAAGCTTCAGCCTTTAGGTCTAGGAGTTCTGCACCTTCCCGGCTCCAGCAGGTAGTCCTGGGTCCTCTGTCCTAAGACTGACTTGCAGGTTAAATGAAAAACACCCCACCACTGGCCTGGGGCCACTGACCAGCTGCTGACTGCGCAGCAGTCGGTGGTGCCTGCTCTCTGCTCCCTGCAGTCCTGGGGACCATCCTCACCCCAGCACAACCAGCCAGCCACAGTTGCTCCCCAAGGCCCTGAGGTCCCCCAGCCAGCTGCTACAGCAAGGGGCTCCCGCTGGAGGACAGCACGAGCTGGTCACCAGGTCCTAAGGTCAGGGACAATAAGTTCGGTGGACGGGGCGGGGCCTTTGGGAGGTCAGGCTGCAGGTCCTACTCAGGTGCTTCAAGCCCACCTGTGACCCCACCTGCTCTGAGGTCCACCCTGCTCCAGCACCCCCTGTAGAACCTCACCCAAACCTAGCTCCAAGCCACATCTGCCTGCCCCTCCCCAGAGCTGGGTGGGGGGTGACTCCTGCGCAGGGACCCGAGGTGCCCCAGCCTCTCCTGTTCAGCTCAGACCACAAGACCCGCCCATGCCCAGTGACTGAGGCAGGGACAACCCTAGACCAGAACATCCGGCACCCTTGGGGTTGCCTGGTCAGTGCTGTCTGCCCAGCCAGCCCCAGGCAGTGGACAAGCCAGCCAGGTTGGGAGGAGTGAGGTGGTCACAGCCTCCAGGGAGGCTGGCCTGCTGCCCACCCAGCAGGGGTGGTCACCTCATCCCATGACTCCTCCTGGGTGGCCTGCCTAGGACTCAGGACTCCTCCAGGGGCCAGAGCCAGCCATTCAGACCCTTTCTCCCCGAATCCAGTGCCAGCCTCCGCAGAGGCCTCGGCTGCAGCATGGCTTGTGAGGTCTCCAGGCCTCTTCCTCTCGCTGCCCCCAGCCCAAGGTGGAGGGCCCTGGCTCTGAGGCTCCAGGCCCGTCCCATTTTGCCAGACCAAGTCAGCTTCCCAGAACAGGAAGAGCGTGGCGTCAACCCACATAGTCATCCCCTCAGCCCGTGTCACCCTCTGGCCAGGCCCCCTTGGGGTGGCTCAGCTCAGCCAGGCCCCTTTGGGGTGGAGTCGGAACCCCAGCTCTTCCTGCAGTCTGCGCAGGTGGAGGCCTGGGGGTGTCCCGGGGCCGCAGCCCACTGAGGTATTTACTAAATGACGTCCTCTCACGCCACCCTGCCATAGGTCCCCACCCTCCTTGAGTCGCACAGAGTTGGGGCCCCACCAGAGCTGCCAGAGGTGAAAGTGAGTAGAGGGTCGGTGGGGGCCTGAGTGTGTGCGGCTCCTGGCCCTGGACTCAGCTGCCTCTGCTTTTCCCTGCTGAGCAAGGCTCTCTTCTGGAACATTCCTCCCAGACCCTGGCCAGGGAAGCAGGACGCTGGGTCTCTGGGGAGGCTGGACCCTCCATGGAAGGAGGCTTCCTGCCCAGTTATGAGCACTTCCTCCCACAGGACAATGTCAGGAAGGGGGTCAGTGCCTGGGACTTGCAGGAAGCAGCCCCAGGCCCAGGTGCCCAGGTGTGGCAGGAAACACAGCTCAGCCTGTGCCCAGCTCACCAAGCAACAAGGATTGGAGCCAGGGCTCTCTGTCTGCTCACACCTCCCTGAGCCTCCCAGAACTCTGCCCCAAATCCCTGCCTCTCACCATCTCCTCCTCTCTCTGTCTCTGCCTCTGTCTCTCTGTGTGTCTCTGTGTGTCCATCTCTGTCTCCTAGCTCTCTGCCTCTCTCTGTGTGTCTCTGTATCTCTCTTATCTCTGCCTGTGTGTCGATCACTGTCTCTCTCTGTGTCCATCTCCAGCTCTGTCTCTGTGTCTTTATCTCTGCCTATCTCTCTCTGTCTCTGCCTCTCTTCGTATCTCTGTCTCTCAGTGTCTTCCTCTGTCTCACTCTCCCCCTTCCCAACTGTGGCCCTCTGCCCAGAGCCTCCCCTGGGCCTAGCCCACCTGTCCTTCTGGCCACTGTAGACAGGAAAGGCTCAGGTCCACAGGTAAAGTCTGATCTGAGCACCATGGTCGTCCAGCAAGGGCTGGGCTGGGAGGAGAGCTGGGGACACGCCCCTGGGGCCTCAGCCTGCCTGGCGCCCTGACCCCTCCCCACCACTCTGGGCTGGAGGGCAGCAGGAAGCCAGGTCAGGGCTGGGAAGCGGCCCACTCACCATGCCTGTGGCCCCTCGACGGGGTTAAGAGCCCAGCTTCCCGGGAAGGGCCAGCTCCTTGGAGTCCACCTTCCTGAAAGGCTCTTCCCGGCACTGCGCAGGGGGGGGGCGGGTTGTGATGCAGAGGCCAGGTCCACACGTGCTAACCCTCACTGCTCCCAGTTTCTGCCTCTGACATGGGTGCTGAGAAGACAGAATTCTCTTGAAGGCCACACCCCAAGATCAGTGGAGGCCAGGCCAGGACGCTGTGTTGTCCTCCTGCAGGGCACAGATGGGGTCATGGTGGGGCATGGCAGACAAGGTCCCAGGGGGCCTCTCAGAAAAGCACCTGGGGAAGGGGGACCGGCAGGCAAGAGGACCCAGGGTCTTTGGGCAGAACTTGAAGGAGTGGGACTGGGGCCACGCAGAGGCTCGGAGGGAAGGCAGGGCAGGGCAGCCTGGAGACTGGGCATGCCAGAGGGGCTTCTAAGTCCCTGTGGGGAAGACCAGGCCTGGAAGGACTAGCAGAGGAACAGGGACAGTGCCCCAGGCTCAGCAGAAAGGAGGATGAGTCCAGGATGAGTGAAAGGCAACTCAGGCTGCTGAGGCCAGGGTCCATCCTGGCACCCAGGCTTCCCTGTGCCTGCAGGGGGGCGGGGGGGGGGGACCCTGGCCACTGGGAAGGATGGAGCTGGGGAACTCAGAAATCAGCAGGTCTAATAGTTCTGTGACAGCCTCAGGCCTCGAGCCCTAGGAGATCCCACACTGGAGCAGCATCACCCCCAGGAGGCCCCAGCCCAGGACTCCCCTGAGACCCTGCCCAGGCAGAACTGGCCACACTGCCCTCCACAGCCCTGCAAGCTGCGCGCAGAGGTGAAGGCGCAGATCTGACCAGTGGTCAGGAGGGTGTCACGTGCTCCAGCACCGATTCCCTTGCACTTGACCTCCACCGTGACCCTCTGCAGGCCTCCATCCTCCGCCTTCCCGTCCATAAAGCCAGTCTGGACCAGGACCCAACCTTGATGCCCCATCTGTTCCGCCCTGGTTCCCGGGGTCCTCGCCCCACCTTTGGCCCCCAGCCCCGGCCTCTCAGCGGCCTCTAGGGCCGGGGATCAGGCCAGGAAAGCCCCTCGGGAAACCCCCCGGGGAGCCGCGGAGGAGGGGGCGGAGAAGCAGGTTTGCAGAGGCGGGAAGCCGCCGGGGACGCTGCTATTTAAACCGTTTCCTCGAGGGGAGCAGAAGCGGGGACGAGCATGGAGCAGCGCCTCGCCCTCCTGCTGGCCCTCTCCCTGGGGCTCCTCCAGCCAGGGCACGGTGAGCAGGGAGGGGAGGGGGAAGGGAGGGACTGAGGTGGGGGAGGGGAGGGGTGGGGACTGGGGCCGCCCTCCGACCCCACAGTCCCGGACCTAGGTGGAGGCCGGGCAGCAGGGAGACCCGCGCAGGGCTAAGAGCTGCGTCCCCGCAGGTCAGCCCCTGCAGGTGGAGCCCCCGGAGCCCGTGGTGGCCGTGGCCGTGGGCGCGTCGCTGCAGTTCACCTGCAGCCTGGCCTGCGCGGGCGGGGCGGCCAGAGTGCGGTGGCGCGGCCTGGACATCGGCCTGGGCGCGGTGCTGTCGGAGGCAGGCAGCAGCGTGCTCTCCGTGCACAACGCCTCGCTGTCGGCAGCCGGCACGCGCGTGTGCGAGGGCTCTTGCGGGAACCGTCGCTTCCAGCGCACCGTGCGACTCCTGGTGTACGGTGAGGCTGCGCCCTCTCCCCCAGGCCCATCTTTAAACCGTTGCTCTGACGCCCCCGCTCCACCCAGACCCTCATCTGAGTCCTCCGAGCCCTTCCCATCCTACGCAGCAGGAGTGTGGTCAGTGCCCAGCTGTGCCCTCCCCACAGTCCCTCACATCTGGCCCAGCCTTGACCTGGGGGCTCCTCAGCCCTGAGCAGGCACCCCCTCTGCCCACAGCCTTCCCAGACCAGCTGGCTGTATCCCCAGCGACTCTGGTGCCTGGAAGGAACCAGGAGGTGGCCTGCACTGCCCACAGCGTCTCCCCAGCTGGCCCTGACACACTGTCCTTCTCCCTGCTCCTGGGAAACAGAGAGTTGGAGGGTGTCCAGGCCCTAGGTAGAGAGGAGGAGGAGGAGGACCCCCAGGAGACAGAGGACCTGCTGTTCCGCGTGACAGAGCGCTGGCTGCTGCCTCCCCTGGGGACTCCCGCCCCAGCCACCCTCCACTGCCAGGCCACCATGCGGCTCCCTGGCTTGGAGCTGAGCCACCGCCGGGCCCTTCCAGGTGAGCCTCCTGGGTCCTGGCATCCCCAAGGCCCACCCCTCTCCAGCCTGGACAGCAACATTCATCCACCCGTGTGTCTCGGCCTCTGGGAGCTGTTCACACAGTCTGTCCTGGGATCCATCTTTAGTCTGTTACCCTGTGGCCACCAGAGAGAATCATTAATTCAACAGATACAGCTCCTGCCCTGTGCCAGCCTCAGGATCCATCCCTGCTCTGCCCACGTCCCTCCATGTTCGTCAGGGTCAAAGCTCAGGTCCACCCTCCCCGGGCAGAACTGGCCACACTGCCCTCCACACCCCTTGCTCCTCTGCTCCAGCCATGGTCCTCCTCATGTTCCTCCAACACAACAGTGAAGCTCATTGCAGCCTCAGGGCCTTTGCACAGGCTGTCCCCTGTGCCCACAATACCTTTCCAGACCAGTCCCAGCTCCTCCTCACCTTTCCCAAATCTTTGTCCAAGGTGACCATAGTGAGGCTCCCCAGCTACCCACCCCCACAGGCACCCAGGCGCTCCTTCTCCTGTGCCTTGTATTTCTCCACCACATTTTTAACACCTGACATCCTATGCTTTTTTTTCCCATTATCTGTCCCCACCATGGGCATTGCCAAGGGACATCTGTCTCATCCACAGTGATATCCTCAGCAGCCACAACAGGAGCACAGGCAATGCCCTGTCTCTAGGGTGAATCCTACACACATCTCCAAGCCCCGGAAACATCCCTAGGGGAGCTCGGTGCACTCTCCACCTGTACCCCTGACTCCCTAGTGCCCCTGGGTCCTGGTTTCTAACCCAGAGCTCTGAAATGGAGTAGAAGCCAGAGGCCATATGAAGGGGGCACACAGAGATGGTTTTTATTTTTTGGGGGGATACTGTGGATTGAACTCGGGGGCACTTGGCCACTGAGCCACACCCCAGCCCTATTTTGTATTTTATTTAGAGACAGGGTCTCACTGAGCTGCTTAGCGCCTCACTTTTTCCTGAGGCTGGTTTTGAACTCGTGATCCTCCTGCCTCAGCCTCCCAAGCTGCCAGGATCACAGACATGTGCCACTGTGCCTGGCGGTTTTTGGATTTTGATACCAAGAATAGAAACCCAGAAGCACTTAACCACTGAGCCACATCCCCAGCCCTTTTTATTTTATTTTTTATTTTTTAATTTTGAGACAGGGTCTCTCAAAGTTGCTGAGGCTGGATTTGAACCTGCCTCAGCTCCCGCACTGCTGGGATTACTGGGGTGAGACATGGTGCCTGGCTACAGGAGTTCTCTAGATCCTACAAGGTCCCAGCCTCAGTCCACACCCTGTCCCCATTCCTATTCCATGTTAAAAGGTGTCCTGAGCACCTGTGCCCTCGCCACTCTCTGCTGCAGCCCAAGGGGGTGGGGTGACCCTCGCCCCTTTTACACTTGAGAAAACCAAGGCACAGGGAGCGGCAGCAGCTCAGGGCGGGGCTGCCAGGAGTGGGCCGCGCTCCCAAGGTCCAGCCCAGAGGGAGCAGTGGGTGGTCCAGAGGGGGAGATGAGGCTCGGGAAGTAAGAAGAAACGGTCACTCTGTTTCCAGTCCTGCACAGCCAGACCTCCTTGGAGCGCCCAGACCCAACCTCATCAGAGCCCCCCACCACCACCTCCCCACAGGCCACCCCCCAGCAGGGCTCCACCGGCACCCCCAGGATTAACAGCTCCACTAGGACTTGCCGCCCAGAGATCCACTGGTCTCTGGAGCCTGCACTGGATGGAGAGGTCAGCTGGGAGCTGCTGTGTGAGGCGGCCTGTGGCCCTGGCATGACCGTGCACTGGACCCTGGCTCCTGGGGGCCTGGCAGCCTACAAGAGGAGGGAGGCAGGGGCTCAGGCATGGCTGAGCCTGCCTCCAGACGGCTCCAGAACCGAGGGCTTCTTCCAGTGTCGCCTGGACCCCGGTGGCCAAGTGGTCAGCCTCTATGTGCCCATCCAGAAGGTGATCCCCAAAACCTGTGAGTTCTGATGCCCGGGAAGGAGCCGGGAGGGGCAGAGTCTCTGGATCAAAACTTTGGGTGAGAAATCGCAGTGCCAGGCTCTGTCCAGGGGCTTCCCCTGGCTGCAGCTTCCAGGCTGAGGCCAGGGGTGGCCACTGTGCTCCAGGCCCTGGGTCCCACCCCTGTGGAGAATCAAAAAGCAAAAACGAGTGTGATGAGTATATTTCAAGGGGCCCAAGATGTTCCCGACCTTATCATCTCAATGCATAAACATAAGAGTCTGAATCTGATATTTTACGCACGTTTTTTAGCTGTAGTTGGACACAGACCTTGATTCATGGGTTTCTGTGCGGTGCTGAGGGTGGAACCCAGGGCCTCACACGTGCCGGGCGCGCGCCCTGCCGCTGAGCCACACCCAGCCCCTGCTTTTCTTTCTAACGCTCTGCATTTCCACACTAGTCCCGAGGCAGGGTACAGGTCAGCGCGCTGGCCAGCCGCACGGCACGTGCAGACGGCGCTCGCGTGCAGGCCGCTGGGAACCCACCGGGACCCCTGCGCTGGCTGCCCTCCTGACAGCCCCTCCCGCTCTTCCAGCTCCGCCCGCCGCCCTGTGGACTGGCAGCCTGGTGCTGGGGCTGCTGCTGATGCCGCCCCTCGCCTACCGCCTGTGGAGACGCTGTCGACCCCTGCCCGCCACCACCGCCCGCCAGCCCGTCTCTCTGCGGCTCCTGCCGGTGCGCCACTAAGCGGGCAGCGCCGCCTCTCGCGGCACCGGCCGCCCTGGGCAGGAGAGGGCCGACCCTGCCCCCCACACTGGTGGTCAGTTCACAGGAAGCCCCCTCCCCAGCTGGCTGAGCTACCCGCCCTGGGCCCACCGCCCACCGCCCACCTCCCACCCCCGGCCCGGAGCTGAAGAATAAAGGCCACTTGGTCTAACCGCTGGTGATTCCTGTGGTGCGGCGAGCCTGGCGCCACCCCTGTTGTCCCGCACACCGGGCTGACCCCAAAGAGCAGAGCGCTGGAAGCCCCTGCGGCCTGGGCTGGGGGAGGCCCAATGCAGCTTCACCAGAGAACCTGGAAAGTACTTGATGGGGGTCGCCTGGGCAGATCAGGACAAGGGGCTGATCGAGGGAAATTGCACGGCTGGAGAGGCTGGAGATGGGGGCGGGGAAGCGACTGGAAATGAGGTCAGCTTGCCAAGAGCCTGAGATGCCAGGCGGGGGAGGAGGGACCCTGGCCAGAGTGCCCAGGGGGCCACCGAAGTGCTTAAAGCCACAACGGACGCGGCGGTAGGACGCCCCCTCTGGTGGTCAGGAAGAGTAACGGCCTAGGTCCGCGACTTGTGAACAGGCTGCTAGGTCGGGTAGGAGCGCGTGGACCTCCAACACAACTGGAGGATGTCCGAGGTGGGGTCCCCCACATGGCGTGCTCTACTAAGACCGAGACAGGCCAAAGGCCGGGAGGAGCTCAGCCCGAGCCCCAAGCTTTCGACAAACTCAGAAAAGGATCTGGGGTGGACGCTCAGTCCTGGAGTCAGGGAGCGTCCATACTGGCGCACGACAGGTTGGACTTTGCTGGTATCCGAGGAGAACGGTTGCTAGGAGACCATGCTAATGAAGGACTCACCCACTACCAAGATGGCAAGCTATACGGCTTCATGCCAGAAACCAAGGCCTTGCTAAGCAACCATTTTAGAATCTGGCAAAATTCAGTTTCCGGGCCGAAACCAGACCAACTCGATACACGCAGGGAGAAGCAAAGGGAGAATACCAACTAGGACCCAAGGAAAAGGGTGACCTGCCCCTAACCAAGATGGCCGCCCAGGAAACTCGGGGCACGTGGGACATGGCGGCGCTTCCGGTCCCAGTGCCCTCAGTGAAGATGGCGGCTGTGGAGAAGCGGCGGCCGGCGGTAGCACCGGCGGCCAGTTTCACGGACAACGGCCGGCCGTCGGTGTCCCGGGCGCAAGCGGCCGCCGAGAATGAGGAGGACTTCCTGCGGCAGGTCGGCGTGACCGAGATGCTGCGCGCGGCCCTGCTAAAGGTTCTGGAGGCGCGGCCCGAGGAGCCCATCGCCTTTCTGGCGCACTACTTCGAGAACATGGGCCTGCGCTCTCCGGCAAGCGGCGGCGCCGGAGAACCCCCGGGACAGCTCCTGCTGCAGCAGCAGCGCCTGGGTCGCGCGCTGTGGCACCTTCGCCTGGCTCACCATTCACAGAGGTGCGGGCGGGGCGGCGGCCAGACTACAGTTCCCGGCATATTGCGGGGCGCGGGGCACTCTGGGAGTTGTAGTTCGCGGCCTCCTGGCCGGAGCCGGTGGGCTGGTATTGCGCTATATTTCCGGGCGCGGAGCTTGCTGGGAGTTGTAGTCCTCGCCTCCTGGGCGGGGTGGAGCTGCTACTTCGCCCTCAGTGCCGGCTGCGGGCTGGTGCACGTTTCTGCTGCCGCTGGGGGCTTTCTAGGTCGGAGGGTACCGTATCCCTTAAGCCAGAAACGAATAACTGGACCTGGAGATTGACTAAAGCCGAGCGTGGCCCGCGGGAGGAAAGCCTGGAGTGGGGCGAGCCGGGGCTACTGGTCTGTGTCCCGGATGGGACGGTTCTGAACTCCCAAGGTGGCCGAGTTCCTGAGTGAGGGTTGCAGCAGACTGGGAAGCTGTCTAACACGCAGCATCAGCCCTGGGCGACTGTCTGGGGCTGGAGGGCGGTGTTTTGGGGGACCCAGAAGCAGAGGCTGAGGCGGGCATTGCGTGATGGCTTAGGAGTGGTGTGCCAGCACGCAGTGCGCCTCAGTCCATCCCCACGGTGACTCCGGCGCCCCTCAGGGCAGCCCTGCCCGAGCCGGAGAAGCTGGGAGTCTGAGCGCAGCTGGACGGGGTGGGGGCTGGCAGGAGGAGCAGGTGGGCAGGAGGCGGAGTGATGGGAGTGGGGGGGAGTAGGACTGGCTCCTTGGCACGAGGAGCCCACAGCGGGAAGGTGGACTGGAGTGCCTGAGACAGGGCTGGGATGGGGCCGTTGTAGACTGGGGGATTTGAGAAGGCCTCAGGAGAGAAGAGCCGAGCCCGCAGAAAGGGTGGGTGGGAAGGCAACGCCAGAGATGAAGAGCCAGGAGAAGTGGCCTCAAGGAGGAAATTGATCAGTGGCAGGGCTCCGTATGTGGTGGCTCAGGTCAAGCACAGCTGTCACAGATGAAGATGTTTATGTTCATCTCCTAGGGCTGGCGGGCATGTTGGCCCACATCTGTAATCTCATCAGCTCTGCAGGCTGAGGCAGGAGAGTCATAGGTTCAAAGCCAGCCTGAGCAAGTTAATGAGGCTCCAAACAATTTAGCAAGACCCAGACTCAAAATTTTAAAAAGGGCTGGGGATGTGGCTCACGGTTATGTGACCCTCAGTTCAATCCCTGGTACAAAAAAAATAACCTAGGGCTGCTGTTAAAAATTACCATAAATTTAGTAACTTAAAACAGAAATTAATTTTCTCAATTGTTGAGGTGGCCCGAAGTCTGAAACCACGGTGTCATCAGGCCCATGTTCTCTCCAGAGGGTCTAGAGGAGGTCTTTCCTGCCTCTTCCAGCTTGGTGGTTGCTCTAGTCTGTAGTGCACCTTGGTGGTGACTAATAACTCCATCCCTCTGTCCTCCCCCCTGGCCTTCCGTCTACTTTGTAAATACACTAGGTGTTGGATTACAGCCAATCCTTCTCCAGCATGACCTCATCTTAGGAATTACACCTGCAAAGGACCTGTTCTCAACTAAGGCCCCTACCTGAGGTTCTGGATGATATGATATCCCTGGTCCCCCAGAATGGAAGTGTCACAGCTGTTGGCTGGAGTTCAGTCAGAGTGGCAGGGGCACAGGAAGCAGACAGTGGGTGCTTGTGGCAGATATGAAGGCCCTGGAGTCACCTGGCTTCCCAGGGACCAGCCAGGAGTGAATGAACAAGACAGGCTCCCATGGCGTCCGATCGTGCTCATGGGTCCAGGCCTGCTCCTGTCCTCCCTAAGACTCCACGGCCGCTGCCTCCCTTCCTCAGACAGCAGGCAGCAGCTCTTGGCTGGTGGCAAGGAGCAGAAGCCAAGGGCCAGGTAGCTGTATGCTGTCCCCCTGTACTGAGGCTGAGCTGAAGATGCCAGGTCTGGGAGAAGTCACCTCAGCCCTCTCTGCTGGCCAGCAAGGCCACCTGGAGCACAAGAATGTAGTGGTGTCTGAAGGCCACATGGCTGGCCACCACAGGGCAGAGCCAGGAGCCGGACGGCTCAGCCGATGGGGCCTCCTTGGCTACCTCATTGCTGATGAGAGGGACTCTTGCACAGTGTCCCTGAACATGTTGTCACCAGGAAAGTACTCGTGGAGGACTGGCTAGTCTTGGCCAGGGCCCAGCCTCAGCCCACTATGGTGGGCACCCTGGACACGGCAGGGTGCAGAGCAGAGCCCCTGGCCTCTACCCACCCATACCACACACTCCCCCGTTGTGACCACACATGTCTGACATGGCTCAGGGTCTCCACTGAGAGCCACTGGTCAAAGGTGAAAATAGTGTCGCTGCTGCTCCTCCTCGAGACAATGTGTTCTCTTCCCTAGCAAGTGCGGGCAAGCTTTGCAAGCTGCCCTGGCTGGCTGCCCGACCTGAACTGCAGAGCAGAGGGGAATGGTGCCGTGCTCTGTGCACCTGTCATCTCTGGGTGGTGCAGCAGGACACTCCTAGGGGGAGTGAGGCAGCCTGGAAGGAGGTGCCTCTCCTCCCTTTCTTGCCCCTTCCTGGGTGTCACCCTGATTCACTGGTTGCAGTCACACCTCAGTGCCTCCTGGTCATGGGGCTGGAGCCTTTGCTGTGGTTACTGCTGTGTGCTTCCTGGACTTGGGGCCAGGATCCTGCTCAAACATCACCTGAGCCACAGACGGGTGGGACTCCACACACTGGGCACGGCCCCAGGTCTGTGGCACAGTCTGCTCCATCCTCACAAGGACCTGAAATGCAAGGACCAGGCTGGTACCCTCCTAGTGAGGAGGGTGAGGTCCTGACAGGCAGGGACTTGCCCAGGGCACCCTGGAAGGCAGGTGTGGCAGCCGCAGAGCCCTGCATGCCCATAGTGCCTAGTGGTGCTCCAGGAGCCACAGGGGCCCAGCTCCTGCCCCCCAGCCACCGCCTCCAGGGAAAGGAGTCAGTGCAAGAGAGTGGGTGGGCAGGCAGAGGGCAGGAGACCTGTGCCTGAGGCCTGCAGAGGGAAACCAGCTGCAGGCTGGATGTGGGGCCAGGAAGCCCCTTCACATGCAGGACCAGAAACCCCACACCGGGTGGCTGCAGCTCAGCCGGAGGCTCTGGCTGCCCCGGGGAGTTTGTGCCTCCCAGCAGGGATGGTATAGCTCTGGGTGTTTAGCCCGGGGTGGGCCCTGAGAAGGGTGGGATGGGGCTGGCAGTGGCCTCCCTCAGATTGTGCCACTGCCCAGCAGGAAGATAGGTCCTTCGGGGCTGCCCTGTTGCCACTCCCCTCACCCCGCCTGCTAAGCCCTGTCATGAGGTCACTGTGCCGTCCCTGCGAGAAGAGCGAGCGCTGGGTGCCTCCAGGGCTGTTGAGAGGCTGTGCAGGCAGCATTGGCAGCATTTGCAGCCTGCACACCACTGGCCTCCAGCGCTTCACAGTGCCAACACAGGGCCGCAGATGGCAGCCAGCCAGGAGGTCGAGAACCCAGCCCTAGGAGGCTTGGTCTGGCCCCCGCTCTGCCTTGGGGCTATCCCTGCCAGCACTC